GGCAAACTATTCAGCAATTTGTAGACATACAGGAGTATTTTGAACTGGATTCGAAGGTGAACCGTTAACCAGTGCAGTGAGGCCAAAACTGGTGTAATGTGCTCTCTTTTGCCTGTACTGGTTAAAAATCGGGCAGCTGCATTCTGGACCAGTTGTAGTCGTGCAATGGAGGTTTGACTGATACCAAACAGGAGTGAATTGCAGTAATCAAGCCTAGATGTAATGAATGCATGCATTACTGTCTCCAGGTTATTTTTGGACAATATGGGCTTCAGTTTAGACAGCCGCCTCAGTTGGAAGAAACATGATTTAACAGTCATGTTTACATGATTGTTAAGTTTCAGGGAAGGGTCCATTATCACGTCCAGATTAGTGACTGTTTGTTTTTCTGACAGGGTTAGAGCGGAGAGGTCGATGCAGTGGTTTGTGATCCAGGAGTTCCAGATCCAGGAGATCCAGTAGAGAGTGTCATTTCCCGATCTGTTACGGAAGCACGATCCGTAGTGTACTTCCGGGTTGCACGGATCACCGTTGTTTATGAATAAAAACTGTCTTAATTTACTTAGAAAAGTACGTGCTTTATCTCCGACGATCTTCAGGTAGCTAATTTACGTCACTCGTATTTCCGTTACAAATCATTGGTTAAGATGATATGAGACGCATTAGACCTGACACCCCCACCCCCCCAGCCTGGACTGAATGAGAAAACCCTGCAAGATACAGAATGAATTATTTCCATGGTGAAACAGCGCCGCTCAGTGGTGAAGCTGCATATCATCTTTACCATGACGTAAATATGTCAATGATTGTAACGGAAATACGAGTGGCATAAATTAGCAATCGGCGGAGATAGAGCACGTACTTATCTAAGTAAATTAAGACAGTTCTTATTCATAAACGGAATTATACCAGAATATTTTCCTTAATCTAGCATATTCAACGGCGATACGTGCGACCCGGAAGTATTCCTTTTAGTGCATGCGCAAATGAGCTGCACTACGGATCGGCTTCCGTAACAGATCGAGGAATGACAGAGAGGAGTTCAGGTGGAACATTCATTCAACCTTTATTTAAACAGATAAATCACATTGAGCCTCGAAGACTCATTTACAAGTGAGACCTGTTTAGACAGACAAAAACAGTGGTTAACTGGACACATGTAGGAGTTGGAGGCGAAAAAAAATCCTATCAGACTTTTTTTTCTGCCTGAGAAAAAAACCCTCTAATATTAAAAAAAACACCTCGCACAAATGGCACATAGTGACGTAGACATTCTGCAAATGGAGACAAGAGTGATCAACAATGCTTATAGAATTGAGCTTACAAAATTGAGTTCTAGAATTGCGCCGCTCAAGGCGGCTGCATGTTGGAGCAGCTCTGTTACTTTCATTCTGAGATTTTGCTTTTGGAAACTTTAATTCTTTTTTTTCTGGATGTAAATCACATTTTTTGGATGAATGTTTCCTCTGGTATCGGATGCTATGCAGCTGGAAGGATTTTTACTGAAACTTTTTTAGCTTTGGACATTTGTTATGATGCGTAACCATGGCAACAAGGCAGTTTTCCACAACCAACAGCAGCTGAGTAACATCTCAAAAGCTCAAATAATATCTCAACTACAGCCCCAAATCTCAAATGAGTTGAAAGGATGTTCTGTGAATGCATTCTCATCTACCTGCCAGCTGTGCTTGAGTGCCTGACCACTGAGATCCTGGAACTAGCAGGAAACACGGCTCAGGACAGTGGAAGGACAGGATCGCCCCTCAGCACCTACAGTTGGCTGTTCGCAGCCAGCGCCGAGGAGCTCAGCAGACAGCTGGGAGGAGTTCTGCCTGGCATTCGGGCGGTCCTACAGCCCGGGGGAACTGAGAGGTCAGCCGAGTCTGGGTGGACGCATCGGACGGCGTCTGCAGCCAGTTTCTTAGGATCCACTGTGGGATGGACCTTTACAAGAGATCCTTCCTGTCTACAGCCATCAGTATCTATAACATCTCTTAATGAAATGAGAATAACGAGTTACAACAAATAATTTCCCTTTGGGATTAATAAAGTATTTTTGAATTGAATTTAATTATAGATGCTCTCGAGGTCACTGTTAGAGTTCTGATAAGATAATCAGTCAATGTCCTCCGGTGAGATCCATAAACATTCTCGAGGTATGTCAAGGAATGGCCAAGAATAACATCTATGAGAATCCAAGAGTCCTGAAATGATGACACAAAGTTTATTCAGCTGGTTCATCTGGTTATCAGTTGGAAATTCCTCAGGGAGGGGGTGGTGAGTGTCGGATCACATTTTCTCCAGGCGAATTCAGATAAGGTGGCCTTGAAGGCCAGCCAAGCAAACCAAATTTCGATAAACACACAGTTCTTTTGGGGACAGGCAGAACTTAATGACATCTACCTTGAGTCTGTGTTGGTCGACTCGGTTCCGAAATGTCCAAATTACATGACCACACCGATGGAACGTGACTGAGTAAAATCCCCAAGATCTGATCCATTCAGCCCAAAGCATTTGAGTCTGGGTACTCGAGACACAAACCAAGCCATCATAAAGGCAAGCAGCGTGATTGGGTCCAAATTTGCTGCCAACGACTTCCTTGATTGTAGATAAAACCAGCAACCAGCCAAATCCAAAAAAGCAGGAACCAGTTATCAAAAATCCAATTACATATGCGTCCTTAAAATCCACAAATGGCAGCAGAAATAGACACATCATCAAGTCTTCCAAGTCGATGAGATATCCAGCTGTGTGTGTGCCAACAGGGCAAATTGGCTCGCTTAAAGCCTGTCTTCTCTTTAAAGAAATGTTGTAAATTGAGTTGAGGAACCAACTGATCAAAAAGTCCATAATTATGGTTCGGAAGAAATGAAGAGAGGCTCACAGCAATTTCACAGACAGACAGAGCAGCAAAGCAAAGCAGAGAGGGAGGGGAGAAGCATCCAATCTCGTCGAGAGCAAGTGGTGAAGGAACATGGAGGCAAGTGGTAGGAAGATGGAGGAGCAGCTGAGGAAGATCCACAAGGAGGACTCATTACGCACAGGTAAGTATAGGAGTTGAGGATTCAGGGACATTCAGTCTAGTCCAGGACAGGAGGTGCAGGAACCAGGTTCAGAAGGTAAGTAACGCTCCAGCAATGAAGGAATCCCTTCTGCAGCCTCTTATAGTCCTGGTGGTGATTAGTGGGATGACTGTCGGCTGTAGCTTGTTGGCACCGCCTCTGGAACCAGGAACCTGTAGAAAGAACTGGAAACCCTACAGCAGAGCACATGTGAAAATAGTGATAGTGAAGCATATATGTGGTACATGTGAAAATATGAAAAAACTCATGAGCCCATAAGTTTCACATGTCACATGTGTAAGAATTCAGTTTTACACATCATGCCATGAAATGTTAGAAACTACATGTTTCACATGTGCAAAACGTGCTTCACATTTAAATCTACACATTTCTAATAAGAATTTACGGACTATAAAATATTTTAAAGTTAATTTCATGTGCAAAACATGTGAACACACAGTGTTTCACATGTTGTACATAGGGTTGTTGAGCATCATGTGTTAATGTGATTTTCACATGTGGCATATGAGGTTTTGCATGTTTTCCATGTGAAGCTACAATGACAAAAACCAACAGGAACTTCATGTGTGTAAAATGACATGTTTCACATGTGAATCTCACTTTTGCTTTTCCACATTTACTGTGTGCTTTTGGAACATTTGAACATTTTTATGCAGTCCCATGTAAAAAAAAAAAAAGAAAAAATCACGTGAAATATGTAGTTTTTTTTTCTCGTAAAGAACATTATTTTACCAAGTTTTCACATGTGATCGCACTTGAGTCTCCCGTGAAGTTCACATTTTCTGTCCCTTACAGAAAATTAACATGTAACTCCTATGTGAAAAACACGTGACAACATGGAATTACGTATGCATGTGTGATGCATGTGAGCATGTGTGTGAAAATGCCCTAAAATCTAATTTTCACATGTACAAAAAGCATTTTACACATTTTTCACATTTGATGTCATATGCATTGTTTTTCAGTGAGGGGCATTAATTTAACAATTTTCACATATAAAAACATGTGGAAAGCATGATACTATAATAGCACATGTGGAACTAATAACAAGACTATAAAGTAGGCAAGATGATATAACACGTGAAACATGTGAAACCTTCAGTTCATTGAGTTTCATGTGGAAATTTACAGTTTTCAAACAACATACCACATGCTTCACATATGGAAATGCATGTTTTACACGTGAAAAACATCATCCAGCGGGTTTCACATGTAACATCATGCGTTTCACATGTTATCATGTAAAACAGTCCAGAACATTTCATCCTGATTCATGCTCAATAATCCAGGTAGAAAAATCCAACAAAGTCCAGAACATTCTTTCCATGGGAGAAACTTAGACATCCCTCTCCCCAGAGACACTCCAGCTCTCCTTAAGGGACCTCAAGGTGTTTCCAGACCAGAAAAGGTGCACAATCCCTTCAGTGAGTTCTGGGTCCCACTCCTACTCCCAGACCTGCAGACAATATTCCTGATGAGGCTCCAAGGAGTAGATAAGGCAGACCAAGACTCTCCTTCAACACTGGAGCATTACCCTGCCTGTGGTTTGTGCTCTCATCTCTTTGTGTGTTTCTAAAGCCTACTTACCTTTTTGTATGATCTTTCCAGTGAACCTCCTGAGACCTACCAGTTTACTTGGATCTCCTCGTGAACCTCTGGAACCTTACCTGTGGCTCTTCAGCTGCTCTCTTGGCTCTACAGCCACATGCCCTCCTGTGCTCTCTGGACCTTCTCATGATGGTAAAGGATTCAGGAACCAAATGTTTCATCCACCAACTATCTACCAGTAAGGAACCTGCTGCATGGTCTTTGTTGGACTTTGGATTTAAACCATCTTCTTGCTGGTTCCTGTTCAATCCTGAGTTTTCCTCCACTGTAAATAAAAGCACTGGATTGACTTTATTGTGTCTGAGTTGTTCAGCGTCAGTCCTTTCATACTGGACATTCAGTTCTTCTGACAGCAACCTTTTTCCAAGATGGCCACGCTCAGAGCAGTTGCAGCTTCACAGGCTCCCGGTACCATCCCAGTTTTTAGAAGTTTTGAAATTGACTCTGTGCCTGACTCCGCGCGATTTATGCGTGTGAACTATAGCCGAACCGAACTGATGAGAATAGGAGCGGATTTGCCACGAAATATAGCAGAAATCAGCAACAAACTCAAAGCTACTCTCGGCAGAATGCAGATCTTAAAGTCATCTACCTGGAAGCTGCAGCAGAGGCGTTCCAGCGGGCAGAAGAGGAAGCGCTGCTCCCGGCTTAAGAGGAGAGGATGCCGGGCGGGGGTTATGGTGAGGCTATGAGCTAACGCTAAAGCCGGTAAACTCCCCATGCCGTCTCTGTTTCTGTCGAATGTCCGCTCGTTGGACAACAAGATGGATTTACTTCGTCTGAGAGCGGGCGCCTCAGAAGAGATGAAGAAGTGTGCAGTGCTTTGCCTCACGGAAACGTGGATTACAAGCGAAACGCCGGACACAGTCTTCCAGCTGGATGACAGACTTTTTTTTCGAGCGGACCGCTGCAGCGAGCTA